AGTATCTGTTCTGCTTGTGACTTTTCTGTTTTGCCCTGATACAGGTTTTTAAAGTTGCTCCATATTTTGCACGCAATAGTACTCTGCCCTCTGTATTAGTGAGGAACATTCTCTCGGGTGGATACAGCCCAGTTGTTTTATTAGTGCACTGGCCATTGGATATTTAGATTGATTTCTGGCTGTAAAGCTACTATGAACATTTCAGTGGAACTGTAAGTGTGTGGATATGCATTTTTATTTTGGGAGTAAAATTCTAGGTCCTATGAAAAACATGTTTCACTCTCTAAGACATGACCCAAACTTTCGCAGAGTGGCTGTGAGTCATAAGCAAGTGGATAGCTTCTAGGGTGAGAACAGAAGAGGAAAAGCCTCCAGACCAATAAGGAAGTCTCCTGAGAAAAGGGCAACAAATTCCAAAGGGGACTAATCAAGCACCCCCAGGACTAAGGGCAGCAGGACATTCTGGAACAAAGATAACAAAGAAAAAGGACTCTAAGATAAGGGCTGGGACACAGAGAATTAATTCTGGGCACAGAGACATTAAAACAGAGCAAGCGAGACCATGGAGAACTAACCAATCACAAAGAGACTGATGGGGATTTAGAACATCAGGGAAAGAAGGGATACATTTGAAGTGCATATTCAGAGGCGGGACTCAGCAGCTTCCTTGCTCCTCTCTGGCCTGGTTCCACCAGCGTGGGAGTCTCACGTTATCTCTGTTCCTTTTCTCCTTAATGAACTTTTTCTTATTTCTATTTCTCTAAACAAATTTGCCTCTTTCCACTTGCTTGCTTGAGCATCAGTAAAGCTCCTGCTGCAGCTTTGTGAGACGCCAACCCCAAACCGTGTGGTGTAGTGGCGTGACTCAGTGCTGCCACCACAGCCTGGGGTCAATTCTTGCCTGAAGAACTAGATGTGAGGACCTGAAATTTATGGTATCAACTGCACCGTTTTGCATTCCCACCAACAATGAATGAAAATTCCAGTTGCTCTGCTGCTTTGCCATTCCTTGGTAGTGTTGTAGAGCAACCCCGATACAAAATGGGGTGCCTGACTGTGGGTCCTCACCCGCGCACTTAAAAGGACTTATCAATGCTCTACTGCAGGCACACGTGAAAGGTTAATAAAAGGTTTATTTACAAGGGAAGGGGAAATGAGGAAATGTACAGCTCTGGGAGAAAAGTGGGAGACAAAGTTTTAAATGCGTCCTACCCAATCCGCCGATCAGGAATCCCAGAATGGCGCTCTCAGAGTTCGCCGCCAGCCAGGAGCGGTGAAGCCAGGAGGGGAGCGATAGCGAGCCAGAGAGACCCCAAGGCCCACGTGTTTGGTTTTTTATCCAACCTGGCTGCCCAACTCCACCCTCAGGTCCCAGCCACCCTCCCTTTGGTGGTGATGGGATTTGTCTTTCCCAATGTCTTGATGGCTTTAGTCTGGAGTGGGGGTGGAGTCCACAAAGCCTGTATGGGATTAGCTCAGGACATCATTTCCCCCTAACAGTAGTGCAATTCTTTTTTTTTTTTTTACTCAGTCTAGTGGGTATGGCGTGGTATGAGCAAATTACTTTTAACTTCTCTAAACTTCAGTCTCGCTCCTTGCTACTAGCTGATTCACAGATGGAGCAAACAAGTTTATAATCTATAGGATCTGGCATAGAGTAGGAGCTCAATAGACATTAGCCCATTTTGCATGGCAGTAGTCTTCAGCCTTACTGCATCTCATGTCAAGGGAGAGCTTTTAAAAGTACAGCTTCCAGGGAGGGGCTCCACTAGATCCATTAAATTAGAATCTCTGGGGGTACTTGAGATTTTGTGGGCTTGTCAGCCTCTGCCTAAGGCCCAGCCTGGGGCCTGGCCAGTATTAAGCAGTGAGTGAAGGATCTGACCTTGAGTATTTAATGATTGTGTGTGTGAATGAGTGAAATGGCAGCGGGGCCTGATTGCTGCTGCAGTGACATTTCTAGGCGGGCTGGCCCAAGACAGACATGTTAGCAATTTCTGAGGAATCTGTGGGGTGGAAAGGGAATCCGCAATAATAAAGTGCCCAGCACAACAGGCTGTGTCAGCAGGCATGGCCGCACGCCGAGTGGGCTCACGGCAATCAGGCGCAGCCTGCTCTCCAGGCAGCTGCAACCCACTTTGTCGCTTCTTAGACAGGCTTTGTGTGGCTTAATGAGGCTTTCCCCTGCTCTCCTCTGCAGCCAGCTGGCAAAGCTGGGGGTGAGGGGCTGGGGGATAAGCCAGAGGGTGCTGCCGAGGCTCCCCACTGAGGACTACATTTATTCTCAGAGCCCCTGACCCTCCTCTGAATGTGATGCCCCAAGAAGAGGGGAAGCCTCACCTCTCCCCTCCAGAGTTAGAGACCCCTGCAACTGGCAGAAGGCAAAGCCAAGTATATTCTGGCCTTCTTGTGGCTGCAATTCCTGGAAAAACATTTATATCTAATTCTAAATAGGAACCTGGCAGATAGTGAACCCAGGATGGAGAAGGATTTCCCCAGACTTTAGCTTACAGTATGTAACATTATGTACTGATGAAGTTATGCAGTATATAGCCTCATCTGTATATTTTTCTCCCACAACCTGCCTCTTGTTTAGTAGATGCTGGGTGCTTATGAATAGGACTGAATTGAAGCTGATATTTTTAGATTTGGATAGGACTGAAGGGAGTCAGACATATTAGACTCAGGGCTGATGGGAGTCAGACATATTGGTGATGACACTGACCTTGGCTATTTGGCATACTCCCTCCTAACACTTGTGTTAGCCCACTTTCTCCCTTTGTACCCACAACTCACATTCAGGCCTCCTGCTGCAATGTCAGATGCCAAAGCCTTCATCACTGTGCCCCAGATAGTCTGCACCCCCGAGTGCTACTCTGCTGCAAGTCTCCCCTCTACCCAGCCCCTCATTAAGATGTATCTTCTCTGAGTCCTAGGAGTTTTCATCCCCTACCCAATGAACAATGAGATCTCAGAACTTTCCCCCTGTTGAATCCACAGGGGAGGTAACACATTTTCAGGCACACAGAGAATGGGTAGAACATCTGTTTGGAGAAGGATTGTGGGGGTGGGAGTTTCACTATATCCCTATATTCCAGTCAACTTCTGTGCAGTTAACCACCTCAAATTCTTTGACCTAAAATTACAAACTTTTGCTATGCTTACAGATTCCATGGGCCAGAAATTCAGACAGATACAGTAACATAGCTTGTCCCTGCTCCATGGTGTCTAGAATCCCAGCTGAAAAAGTTCAAATGGCTGAGGGTGACTCCAATGGATGGTACTGGAATCATCTGGAGGGTTCTGTATTACCAAATCTAGTTCCTTGGATGGGATGAAGCAGAGACTGAGCCCAGAGGACCTCTGTGTGACTTGGGCTTCCTTATAATATGGCAGCCTTGGGGTGAATGACCTTGAGATGAGACTCAGAGTTCTAACAGCAAGTTGAGATCATCAGAAGTTATTTTTGCCATACTTTATTAGTCAAAGCAGCCCTACCCTTCCTAAACTCAAAAAGTGAGGATAGGGACCCTACTTCTGAAAAGGAGTGTCACATAATCTATTACAATTAAAGTGTGTTTTAGAACCCCTGCCCCCATAGGGCACATCCACACACCTTTTGGTGGGAAGCTGTCCAGTGAAGAACAGTGAATCTGGGGGTATCAGCTCAGGTCCACTGTGACTCAGTTCCCTTCTTGGAGTCTCCCTGGGATCCCTCAAGGGCAACTCTCACAGCCTGTGCTGCTGCTGAGTCTCAAGGCGAGACAGTGGTTGTACCTCAAATCCCACCGTGGGATCTTTCTATTTGATTCTCTTTTTGGCCATCAGAAGGGTGTCCTATGGTGGCAGCTTTGAGGAGAACACTGTTCTAGGAGAGTCGGAAGAATGACAGTGTGCTAGGTAGAAAGGAAAGGGAAGCTGTTGGCAGGGAGACCCAAGAGATGACCACACCCAAACTCAGGAAGAGGCTGGGACTTGTGTGCCATATCTCAGAGACCAAAAAACAAGATATGGGAGGGAGCAACAATTTTCAGAGAAGAAAGAGATCTTCTAGCTCAGTCACACAGCCCTACTCCTGACCAGGATGCTACAGATTAATGAGTATGTGTTGCAGATGAATGGGACATTGTTAGCTCCACTCTGCCACCCCTCTCCCACTGAATACCTTTGTATGACTGTAGCATCTCAGTCCCTTAGAAATTACATAAAATACAAGTTAGCTGTTCCAGCCTCCGATTTGCTGGTGAGCCCCAAGTGTGGGGGTTCCTCACCTCTCCAACTTCATTGTACAGGAAGCTTATGAATTTTTAAACATACAGAAAGCACATTATTTGTGATCACATTAGACCTTCAAAAGGAAACACGGACATAAATTTTGAGATGAATAGCCAAGTGCTGAAAGCCTGCCTCTCTGCTTGACTTCAATAACTTATCTCAATGAATCCCCAGCAGAAAGCATCTTACATACTTCAGTTCTGGAGAAGATGAGACGTGAGTGCTGGGGAATTATAAGACAGAGGGGCTTTATTGCAACAGTGAACAAGCTGAAAATTACAAGGTAATGGAATCTCAGTAGGAGGTCCTCTACCCTGCCATTAGCTAACTCAGACAATGATTGCTACAGAATCGGCTAGGGGTATATAAACACCACACAAGGTTTCTACACTTTGCATTCTCATCTGGCTAAGCCCATAGATAATCCCAGGTGAAGGCAAAGGGTGCACCTGGCTGCTGGGATCTTTGATCTCTTGGGAAAAGTCTACAAAATCATCTGCCTGGAGAATCCCTTATCCTATTGGAGATGATTTCATTCTGAGCCCTTGTGGTGCATTGAGGCTTAATAGTGTTCAGAAAAGGTGGAAGCGGCTTGGCCAGCCTGGGAGGAGATACTGATCTCTGCTGGCGCTGTTTCCTGCCTCTTTGTGGGCTCATTAAACCAAATCCATTCTAAGCAGACACCCTTCTCTAGCGACTCTGTCCTGTGTTCCCTGCAGCGCAGCCATGGAGGCTCCAGCCAGGCGGGAGCTACAGCGGCAATGGTGCATGTCCTGATCATGCAGTTCACAACCAAACCCACAGCTGCAACAAGCACAATGATGCCAGGTGAAATTTGCAAACCAGGTACTGTGCCAGTGTTTGTCACACCTTTCTTCAGATCCTTCCAACAACAGCCTCTTTATACAGAAGAGAGAGAGATGTTCATCTTCTTAATGCACAAAAAATTTGGATTGCATTGCCCCATAAATTATTATTTCCTAAAATTGGTTCTTTGGGGATTAATTGAGGCTCACTATGATTTTTACCCTATTGGTGCTCTATATATTTAATTTCTTGTTCTTATTTACTTATCTTTGAACCAATCTGCCCATCTTAGCCAGGTTTAGCTTAGTAAAACACAGCAGAGGAGTGGGGTGTAGTCTAGGAGGAGCCAGGCACTGGACCACGTCCCATCCTACTTGAGTCAGTCTGACCCAGGTAAGAAGTAGAGTTTATCAGGAGCACCCCCCATGGCAGTCTTTGCATGCTGCAGCATCTGAGAATCTAAACTTAGGCATGGGGAAGGTGACATATCTCCCTGAGGGGTGAATGAAGGATGGGTAAAGCCCTGCCAATAGGGGTTCTGCAGAAGTCTTATAAGAAGAGGAAGTAATCTGCGTTGATTGACATCCTGGACTGTGACATTCAATGTGGGGTAATGGCCCCTGCAAAGGGCTGACCAGAATAGAAGTGTTAGGACTCTCACCAGACTGTGTGGTGGCCCAGAGGAAATCTAGACTCTGTTTCTAGGACTGAAAGCAAGGGACGGAATGAGGTGGCTGCGTGCACCAGCCTGTGTTAGGGGCCTGGGGGTGTCATATTCTGGAGCCTGAGGATCCTAGCTTTCTTGTTTCTTATTCTTCTTTAACCAGAGAAGGACCTGCAAGGTGGGCTGGTCTGCAGGTGGAGTCTGAGGCCCCAGCTACAGGAGAGAAAAACTGGGAGTCAGGGAAGCCAGCCTGGCAGGCCTGGCTCCAGTGGGAGCAGCCTATGCTTTATGTTAAGAAAACAAAGGTTTGCATTCAGTCCCCAAAGGGAGAAGAAGGCAGGTCAAGTGCCTGTGCAAATGAGCCACAGTGTTGCTGAACCCTCCCCAGTGCATGTTAATGAGAAACACTTCCAGTTTGTGTTTATAAGCTCATACAAACAAGGGCTGGGCTGTCATCCCAAGTCTGAGGTAAAAATACAGCTAATTATATGAAAAGGGATGAAGAAGTGCTAAATTCAGAACCATTTAAGAGGAGAGACAGGAAAAGAAGATTTGCAGAGGTGAGGATGAGGGAGCATCAGAAGGAGTCAAGGATCCTCTCTGCAACTGGGGTCTTTAATGTTTGTCTATGTCCCTTTTTCACTTTGATGCGAAAAACAGCAGGACTAGGGGCCTCCCTGGTGGCACAGGCGGTAGAGCACAGCGCTGTGAAGCTGTCCGCGGCCTCTGTGGTGCTGGTTTGATCCTGGCCCCCGGGGAGATAGCACATGGCCCGGCAGACCCCTCCTGTCTCACCTGCTTCTCCCCTCAGCAGCGTATTTCAGTCAGTCTGCCTGTTCTGTTTCTCGCTCTGTCTGGTGAATCCTCTCACCCTCCTGCACATGTGGCCTGTACCCTAGTTCTTGTATGCATGAATAAATAAATCTTTAAAAAAAAAAAAAAAAACAGGACTAGCTAATGTCCAGGGTAGGAAATTCAACTTAGCTTATCAACCATTTTCTAGGAGCCTATTATGCATAAAAGAAAGATACAGAGACAGAGGAGGAAGAGAGGGGACAGGAAAAGGGGGCTAAGGGAGAAAATGGAGGGAGGAAAAGGAAGAGAGAAAGAGAGGGGAAAAATTCAAACAAGTTTATGCTCAAAAAGCAATTATTCCTACTAGGTTGAGTATAGTGCTATGCACACACTTTCTGCTGTGAAATTTGTTTATCCCCTGTACATGCACAGCAGGATGGAGTTACCTGTGTCCAAATGTGTGCTCTGCATCACCTGGAAGTGTACCCATTTTAGAAAAGAAAGAGTTAACATTATTGGATACCTGTTATGGGCCAGAAACTGTGATAGACATTTGATATATATTAGCTTATTTGACCCTTGAATCAGACAGGCTAAGCTAAGTTGTGCTGCAGTAACCACTTCTAGAACTCAGTGGTTTAAGCACTGAAAATGCACTTCTTGCTCATGTCGCATAACCATGTCTCATAACCATAAGCAACAATGGTCTCTGCTGCTTATGGCATCCAGGCTGATCAAAGAGCCTTCATCTTGAAGATCACTGATGGCCATTCTTGTTCAAAGGCAGCCCTGAATGTATTTGCCCCCAGCAAAGTGCTCTTGTGTGAAGGTGATGCTCTCTTAGTTCCATTCACAACCCACTGCATGGTAGCTGCACCGGCCCACCTGCCAAGGAAGCCAGGTCCCACATCCCACCTGTGTCCAGAAGGCAGAGGATGGGAAATGTTCAGGGAAAGCAACTGTGGCTTCTATCATTTCTAACTTAATACCTAGCCCACAGATTTGCTGTTATTCTCATTTTACAAATGAAATTTCTGAAGCTAGAACACGATTAACTTCATCAAAATCAAGAGTTTTTGTGTTTCAATACTGTTTCTTTTGCTCTCAGAACTTGTGACTCTGTTTCCAAGGGAAAAAAAAAAAACCTAACTTGTGGGTAAATGGGTAAAAATAGAAGATTTGAACTTGAGAGCCAGTTGTCAAACTCTCACTTTTTACAATTAAACTAAGGTATGGATCCCCAAATTGAGTCCTATAAAATGTTAGTTCTGTTAGGTACCAAAAACTGTTCCACTAAATACACCAAGGAAAAACAAATAAATAAACTGGTAGACACAATTTTAAACATTTTATTGATGCAGAAATTATTTTTTTAGGGCCTCCCCGGTGGCGCAGCAGTTGAGCGCTAGGTTGCGAAGCTGCCTGCAGTCTCTGCGGTGCCGGTTCCATCCCTGGCTGCTCCCTGGCCACTGGAGGAGGGTCCCACATGGCTCGCAGACCTCTCCTGCCGCCCGCTGCTCCCCTCAGCAGTGTACTTCGGTCCTTCTGCCTGCTCTGCTCCCCGCTCTGGCTCTGGTGAATTCTCTCACCCTCCCACGCTTCTGACTGTACCCAGTGCTTGTATAAATAAATAACTAAATCTAAAAAAAAAAAAAAGAAATTATTTTTTTAAAGATTTATTTATTTATGCATACAAGAACTGGGGTACAGGCCAGAGTTGTGGGGGGGTGAGAGGATTCACCAGAGACACAGTGGGGAACAGAACAGGCACATTGACTGAGATACACTGCTGAGGGGAGCAGTGGGCGAGACGGGAGAGGTCTGCTGCGCCATGTGGGTCACCTCCCCGGCCAGTCGGGGATCGAACTCATGCTGCAGAGACTGTGGACAGCTTCATAGGTTGCATCTTAACCCCGTGTGCCACCAGGGAGGCCCCCAGAAATTATTTTTAAAGGATTCCATTTGCTAATATGCCTTGTGATTCTCAAAAAGGGAGACTCTAGCACATGATGTGTCCCAATTCTATTTACTTTTGTTTTCTGAAAGATCTATTGACAAGGAAACACTGAACCAAGGTGTTAATAAGTGATAATGATACTTATTGCATGTCAAGAGGCACAAGGCATAAAGTCCTCTCATGCAGAGGCTCAGCCATAGGAGAACTCAGGGGCAGGAGCACCAATTACTGTGCAAAGAGCCTGTGCTATAGTCTCAGTGCTGCAGAGATTCAAACAGGTGTGGTCTCTGCCTTCAAGGACCATACATTTTAAACAAATAATTATCAGTTGTTGCTTAATATCATTTGCTAGGCACGGTAGGAATGCAATTTAAAAAATCTGCACTCCAGACAGTTAGGCAGTTCTCCTTTGTATTTTATAGATAATTGAGACTGAGATGCCCTTTCCTGACCTAAATCTCAGTGAGAATGAGAGACTGAACCTGGATCACTGCCTGGGATCTCTCTCTCTTTGTCTGCTACTTGGTGACTCTGCCCAATCCCTGCAGGAACAGAGATGAGGAGGGCATCCTGGGCACCCCTTATAAAATTCAGGGGAGCAAAATTTTCATTCTTAAATGGGGACTCTTGCCACCTTTTATAAACACACTGTGCTTGCACCCCTGGTCCTAGAGCTCAGCTACGCATCAGCATTTCCTAAGTAGCTTGGCAAAACAGCCATATTCAGGCAATACTCCACCCCAGTGAAGTTAGAGACTCCAAGGGTGGGGGTCTAGCACAGTTTTCAAAGTGTCCTGGTGATTCCAACATGCAGACACAATTAAGAACCAGTGGTGAGGCACTCGCTCAGTGCTGCAAAGACACAGCCTCAGTCTTGGCTCCTGTAGCTCTCACCTCCCAGCTAAAGAGTGAGATCACACCTAAGATATAGAAATCAGGCTGTTTGGAGACATGCCATTTCCTCTGTGGGGGTGTTAAAATAAACCCTTTATCGTTAAGCGATCCCAAAGCCCTTGGAGGAAGCAAGACTTTGGATTTGTACTATCCAGAGTTCTGTCCTTACTAGCTGTCCAAACTGGGGAATTATTTGATCTCTCTGGATTTTTTTAAATTGTACCTATCATAACACAGCCTTGTGCAGCTGTTGCAGAGAGGGGAGGAGGAGATGAGATGCATTAACTCCTGACACTGAGCTTGGTATAGAGCAGGTCTTCATACAGAGCTGTTGCTTCTCTCTTCTTACACTGTAACTTATTTCCTGGCTTTAGTTTATCAATAATATTGATAATCTTAGGAATTTCATGCTTTGTCCTATACTGAGATTGGTGGCATTACCTTGCTCTCCTGCCACTGGGAACTGGGAGGATGTGGAGGAAGTGATAGATTTTACCATTTCCTATCAGCTCAAACTACATTATTAGTAGGAGCACTGCCTTTAAGCTGGCCTTTGTCTAACTTGAGGTATCCGAGACAATAGGCATTTAAATCAGTGAAGCTCAACAGAGACAAATATGTGTATATAGTTTCCATTCTTAGATGCACTAATTGCTCGCCTGATTCACTAAATTCTAATTAAAACCATTCCACCAGATGATTTTATTTTATTCCTTTCAACTGGTAATT